ACAAATATTTTTGGCACTTTCATCGAGTTTCAGATGGCTGTTAAGTATGTGGGTTTTTCTCTGTGTCTTGTATTCTATCCCATTGGTCTTTGTAGCTATTTTTTATGCCAAAACCATGCTGTTTTTCTTCCTATAGCTCTGTAGTATAATTTCAGATCAGGCATTATGATGCCTCCTGAGTTGCTTTTCTTGCTCAGTATTGTTTTGGATATTCTGGATCTCTTATTCTTCCAAATGAATTTAAGGACTGTTTTTTCCAGTTCTGTGGGGAACGTAATTGGTATTCTAATTGGAATTGCATTGAATCTGTTTATTACTTTTGGTAATATGGCTATTTTGATAATATTTATTCTGTCTACCCAAGACCATGTAAGGTCTTTTCATCTTCTAAGGCCTTCATAATTTCTTTTATCAGTTTTTCTAATTTTTATTGTAGATACCTTTCACCTGGTTTGTTAGATTATTTCCAGGGTTTTTTGTCATTGTTTTGGTTTTATCTTTGGTTTTGGTATTTGAGGTTATTGTGAATGGGATGGTTTTGCTGATTTCTTCCTCAGCAGAATCACTATTAAAGTATAGGAAAGATATTAATTTGCAGGTGTTGATCTTGTATCCTGCTACTTTGAATTCAACTATTCAGCTCTACAAGTTTTCTATTGCAATTTGTTTGTTTTGCCTCTTTCTTTGTATTATTATTGGTATTTTGTTGGTTTCTATCTGATGTTAATTGATTGATACTGTATATCTGGTTTGTCTTTATGAGTGTTACTATTGTTTCTTTTCTGTTGAGCTAGGGAGCCATCCCTGTGCCTTGAACACATATGATTGGTGCTTTGCCACCTGTGACATCAACAGCACAGGTGAGAGGAATCATACCTTACTCCACCCAAGACATAATCCCACTCAAGTCTTGGAAGATATTTCAACCTAAAGAATATGGGAGATAGGGGATGGGGTTGTGGCTCAGCAGTAGAGCACTCACCTAACATGTATGAGGCACTGGGTTCAATCCTCAGCACTACATAAAAATAAATAAATAAATAAAATACAGGTATTGTATCCAACTACCACTTTAAAAATATATTTAAAAATAAAAAAAGAATATGGGAGATAAAAGCCCCCAGTTGATATGTTCCCATGTAGGTATGAATAGAAGAGACTAAAATACAATCTTTGGACACTAACCCCCATAGAAAGAGCAGAGAGAATTGACACAACTCCTATGAATACTGTGCCTACTTTGATCCACAGCCTAGAATTCTCCCATACACTTGTAGGAAAAAAAAAAACATTATTGACAAGGTTGGAAGAGTAGCCATTGAAAATGCATCCCAGGTACCACATTTTCTACAATACCCTTGCAACCAAAGTCACTCTGCTCTTACAGGATCTACAAAGAAAATTGGACTCTCAAGCTCTGACAGTACAACTGTGTCAAAACTCATAAATCACAGCCATAGAAGATATGACAACTACAGTGCAAACTACATTTGTAAATAAAGTCAACACTACAACCAAAAGCTCAGGACACATTGAGAAAAGGCTCTTTTCTAAGAGCCACTCACATAAATGTGGAAGAGATATACATCCTATACAAGATGAAAATCCAAGGTAGCGTGGCTTCTTCACATGGTCATAACTATCTAGGAACTGATTCCAAAGATATTGCAGTATATGAAATGCCAAAAAAATAACTTTTAAAATGTTAACTATGATCAATGAATTCAACAAAGATAAAAATAAATAGGCAAATAAGGAGAACAATGCCATATAGAAAAGCAGTTCAATAAATAGAAATTCTGGAAGGAATCAAACAGAAATTTTGGAAATACAGAGTCAGTATTTCAAATTAAATATTTGGCTACACATCCATAGACTAGATCAAGTAGAAGAAAATATATCAGGGCTAGAATATAACAATGAAAATCACATTCAAACAGTGACAAAAACAAGAATGATCCAGGGCATACAAGACCAGTGGGACCTGATGAAAAGTCTAAACTTATGAATTATAAATACAGACAATGGAGTGAAGGTACAGGCTATAGGCAATGCAAATTTATTCAGTAAAATAGTAGCAGAAAATTTCTCAGATTGGGGAATAGGTTTGGACACCCATGCACAAGAACATTTAGAACCCCAAGTGGACATGACCAGAAAAGAACTGCTTCAAATCATGTTATGCAAAATTGCCAAAGTATACTGAAAGCTGTGAGAAGGGGCAAAGATATTATAAAGCCAACTCATCAGAAGAACAGCAGTTTCTCAACAGAAACTTGAAAGCCAGGGCAGCACAAAGTGGTATCTCCCAAGCCCTGAATTAAAAAGAAAACACTTGAAAATAGATGGAAAGGATGGTTATCATGTTAAGTAGAACAATTCAGAACCAGAAATCCAAGTATCATATGTTCACCCTCATATATCAATGACCTGAAAATGGAAGAGGTGTTATTAGGGAAGGGAACTGGGGGAGGGAAAGAATGAAAGTAGGTAGGGTGGATAGAATTCAAGTATGATATATGTATGTATGGGTATGTCAGTCAAATCCACTAATTTATGCAAACAATAGGAGTCAACATTTATAGTAGAAAAGAACATCTGCTTTTTATAAGTCCGATTTACCATAATGTCACTATAGAGGAAACACAACATACTAATTTAAAAATATTTTTCTTATTTTATATAAAGACATATATAATTTCAGGGGCAAAAACTAAATTACTGTAAAATTATTTCAGATTATAAATTTCCTAAAACTAATTGCTTAAATAATTCTGGATTGTAGATTAATAAAGACATTAAGAAAAAATTTACACATTGATTTTTTTCACCACTCCTTTGTGATCAAAACTTTCTTATTTTTACTTTTTTTATATAGAGTAAGCACACCAAGAGTAATTCACTTTCAGAAGTTTTACCTGGATTGCTTATTTCTGAATTTTTAGGTTCTGCTTTCATATGTTCAAGAATTATTTTCCTACTGCTATTATGAAAAACATAATGAAATTGTTATTTTAACACTATATAAAAATGTTAGCCAAAATATGTTCAATTATTAATAGAGATTTAGACATCACAGCTAATATCAGAACTCAATCTCATGTACTTCAAATTTGTCAGCCCTATAAACATTTTCCTGACTTGACAATTATTTATATTTTGCTTTGTTTTGGAGATGGGGTTTTACCATGACACCTAAGCTGGTCTCAAACTCCTGAGCTCAAGCAATGCTCCTGCCTCAGCCTACCCCATAGCTGGAGAAAAGACACATGCCATTGCATCCATAAACTTGTAATTAAAGAAGAAAAAAAATGAAATGATTATGATCGAGGATAACACAGCTCAATACATTAACCAGAATAGCTTGACATAAAAGAAATTGTCCTAAACTCAGGTGTCCTCTCTGTAACCAATAGCTTTTTGTTCTTACACAAGTCCTATTTCTTAGGTTCAAGGTCTCCTTCTAAAAATAAGGGTTGTACTGCTTTAGTTCACTGGGTTGTTACAAAGATTTAATGTGATAATACTGAAACACATTAAGAAAAATAATATAATGATGGAATAATTTGGTTTTTAATGCTGAACTCTTTTGGAATTCTAAATGAAATCCAATGTGTATTAATTCACAAGTTCTCAGTTATTGAAAAATGTTATTGTGTCCTATTTTGGTTATTGGCTGTACTCTTTTTGTGCTTTATAACTCAAGGAAAAACAGCATTTATATATATCTCCTTAAATTAGACAATAAAATCATCCATTGTCCCCCAGAATGAAAATGATCAATCACACCAAAGGCAGGAAATTAATGTCAAAACTTGCTTGGACTTCTTCTATTTCTTGTCCGACTAATCAAACGAAACCAAAAGATTTTTGATAGAGTGATGCTTAATCTCTATGTTGATTTCCAACTGACTTCAGACAAAATTCTGTTTTATACTTGCATACTGATGAGTCATCATGGGTCTTAGCTCTTTTAGGTGCAAATGAACCTCTTTAGGTTCAGAGGATTCTGCTTAATATCTACCTTATAAGGTAGAATTTATATATTCAGAAAACTTCAAGCAGAGGCACAAATACCTTGGAAAAGTATTACTATGGAAAACAAATCACTAGAGTTTCCAATCAAATCTTGGTACCCACCCTGGGAAACAGTGATATGGGATCTCCCATAATCAAAGAAAATGTATTTCATGAGATATAAAGGGGATTTGGGGTACAGATTTATTAGCAAGGATGAAAGGAAATGCTGATCTCTACCTGTGACAGTATTTGAAATTATTGGAGAGTTTTGAATGATTCTAATTAATATTTGCTGGCAGAGCAGACAAATAATAAATAAATAATAAACATGTTGTAACATTTAAGTCTAAGTGTGTATTGCCATGAAGATTCAGGTATAGGGATCAGTCAAGACAACACGGTAGTAAAAGTTAATCATTATCAGATTGTAGGATCAGTTCTAATAGCAACACTGCAGCAACAGAATCAAGAGAAACAAAATAACAGAAAAGTCAGATAAATGTATTTATGTGGGTTTGTCTCTGTGTCTTCTATCCTATTCCATTGGTTTTCATGTCTGTTTTGGTACCAATACCTTGCTGTTTTTGTTGCTATAGCTCAGTAATATAATTTAAGGTCTGGTACTGTAATGCCTCCAGCAACACTCTTTTTGCTCATAATTGCTTTGACTAATTGGTTTCTTGTTTTTTCAAGTAAATTTTAGAACTGCTTTTTCTAGTTTGTGAAGAATTTCATTGGTATTTTGATGGGGATTACATTGAATCTGTATATTGCTTTTGGTAGTACAGCCATTTTGACCACTTTAATTCTGCCTATCCAAGAACATGGGAGGTCTTTCCATCTTCTAAGGCCTTTTTCAATTTATATCTTCAGTGCTCTATAATTTTCATTGTAGAAGTCCTTCACACCCTTCATTAGATTAATTCCCAAGTATTTTTTGAGGTTATTGTGAATTGGACAGTTTTCCTGATTTCTTTTTCAAAAATATGAAAGGCTTCACAAATTTGCAAGTCATTCTTGTGCAAGAACCATGCTAATCTTCTTTGTATTGTTCCAATTTTAATATATGTGCTGCCAAAGTGAGCACTACACCTTCCCTTCTTATTGACTACAGGTATATTTGCTTTCTTCCAAATTAAAATTCTGCCATCTGCTGTTTATTTTCCTGTAGATCAAGTAAAAGTAGTTTTTGGAAATCAAAAATAATTTATTCACAAAATTACTTATTTCTCAACTGAACTGAAAGTTTTAAAAAAGACCCTAGGAACACAAACATATATAAAGAAAAGAAAGGAAAGCTTCTCCCTTCTACATGAGCTGTTCTTTCACTTTGAAATACCCTCCTATGCCTAGAGTGGCCAACTCCAGTCATCTCCAAAACTCCCTACAAATGTTTGCTGCTTCCAGGAATCTTTGCCTCTGTCACAGCCTTTATCATGGTATCTTGAAATTATGTGATAGCCCCTCCCCCATCTAAGCCAAGAACTTCTTGAGGACAGGGACTGTATCTTTAATCTCAATAGCCCCAAACCCTAAAATATAGAAGTAAAGAATTTAAGCATTTTATTGAATTGATGAGCTAAATTTTCATCTCTAGAGCAGAGTTTATCAATCTATATCCCAAAGAATATCTGATTTTCTGGAAATATCAAGCCTCATTAGAAAGATTGTTTGAGTCACTATCAGAGGAATATTACAAAACTGTGCATTACAGTCCAGTATAAAGCAAATCTCTTTACTATTGCTAACACCTATTTGACAATGTTTTCTTTTCTTTTTAACCTTTGTTGAATCTCATCTTTATTTTTTTTTTGGTGGGGGGTATAATTTCCTATTTTTATTTATTTATTTATTTACTTTAATTGCTTTTATTTTTTAAATACATGGCAGCAGAATGCATCACAATTCTTATTACACATATAGAATACAATTTTTCATATCTCTGTGTATAAAGTATGTTCACACCAATTCATGTCTTCATACATTTAGTTTGGATAATGGTGTCCATCACATTCCACCATCATTGCTAACCCCCGGCCCCCTCCTTTCCCCTCCCACCCCTCTGCCCTATCTAGAGTTCATCTCTTCCTCCCATTCTCCCTCTCCCTACCCCACTATGAGTTAGTCAGCTTATATCAGAGAAAACATTCGCCATTTGTTATTTTTGAGATTGGCTAACTTCACTTAGCATTATCTTCTCCAACTGCATCCATTTATCTGCAAATGCCATGATTTTATTCTCTTTTATTGCTGAGTAATATTCCATTGTGTATATATGCCACATCTTTTAATCCACTCATCTACTAAAGGGCATTTAAGTTGGTTCCACAGTTTAGCTACTGTGAATTGTGCTGCTCTAAACATTGATGTGGCTGTGTCCCTATAGTATGCTGTTTTTAAGTACTTTGGGTATAGAGGAAGGAGAGGGGACAATGCTTTTTCATAGCAGATATTCACATTTGGAGAATTAGAGTAGCAGAGAGACATCTCTCGGTGCTTTCCAATAACATGGAAGGTTTCTTCATGCTATATAAACTCTCTTGGTTCTCTTTTATTTAGTGTCAGAATTCCAGACATCAATATAGGCACTCCTCTCCACTTGGGTCACTGGGGAAATGGGCTTTGAGTTAGAAGAGATAGGTTCAAATTAATTTTGATTGTCTATTCCTAATTGGCCCCTGTGTTTCCTCCTACTATAAGATGAAAGATATTAATCTTACATGCTAGAAAGCTAATACAAAATACATTCTTATTGAAATAATAATCCTGGGACCCTAATGCACTTTTCCAAGTTCTTTTTTACTCTGGTTCCACTTTAATTGCGAATTAAAGGTATTTAAAAATATAGACAAAATATAATTCAGAAATTTTGTGTAGAAACAAAAGTTTTATCCTGGTCTACATGGATTATTTTTGGCATCATAAGACACTAAATCAACCACATGTTGAAAGAGCAAGACTGAAGAGAAAGATATAATATTGTTTGCAACATGCATTACCTACCTACCTCTAACCATGAGGCTTATAAAAACCTAATGAGGCACATAGAAATTCTAATGAGAATATGATTTTTATAGTACACATAAGAAAAGCGTTTTAAAATATAAATTTTTAAATTCTGAATTTCAATTCTACTTCAGAGATCAATATATTACATAGGCCATATTCTTATAATTAATAAAAACTATCATGAAAACCATGAAATTTTAATCAAAATATGCTGCAAAACAGAGTTATAATCTCCTTAATAGAAGCAAAGTACCTGATTCTGAGCGAATGCTGCAGCTTGCCAGTAGCGCATGCCCAGTATGAAGGGGGCACCCTGTGCGCTACTAAGTAACATGGACCCAGAGGAGACACCATGTGGTTCTTCAAGAGAAACTTGAACTTCAGATTTCTGTATGCATCTCCTGAATTTTAAATATTGACTCAATTTATATAAATTTTTATATACTAAATGTATCCATGAGATTTAAAAAAAAAGGTTTCAACATTTGCTACTATTCTACTCAAGATTTGTTCACCTAAGTTAATGTTAAAACAAATGTATTTCAACTGTTTTGGAAATAAAGGTGATGGATGTATGCCTTGTTTTGTATTGCCTGAAAACAGTTTTGCTGCCATTGACGTGTCCTTGCAAAAGACAGAATGGGGGGAAGGAGTTTCACTCCTGAATTCTTAACATTTAGATAAGCAACATTTTCTAGAATAGTTGCATATTTTTCTTCCTGCTGTTGTATAGACTGTTGGTTTTGTACTAAGTAATGGATTATAAATTTTAGAAATTCAAAAAAATATTCCACAGGATGCACTAATTAGTTTATTTAAATGATAGTATTCAATTTTTATTCTAAGCATTTCAGTTGAATTCACTTCCTATAGAAATCCTTAGCTACATCTACCTTAATCAGTGGTGTGTTTTTGTCACTAACACAGGGGTGAAATGTTACAGTTCTATTCTAATAGAAGTGGCACCACTTCTCCCTGGCCATAGGCACAGGTATAATGCAGAGGGGTTCTATAAAAGTAAGGAGATTTGTTAGGAATTCACAGAGCATCCTCTCAAAACATATGACTATTCATGCCATTGTAAACATCAAATAGCATGTAATTCCTCTCCCTTAAATCCAATAATTTTCTTTTGAAGAAACTATATTTGTTATCTGTTATAACTTATTAAGTTAATGAATAAACAGCCTATTTTCTATTGATTTACTTTTTGTTGTTGTTGTTGTTACTGATGGGAGTTGATCTCAGGCACATATTTTGAGGAAGGGTCTCACTTAGTTGTCCAGAAGGCCTTGAACTTGCAATCCTCTGCTGCAGTTTCCCAAGTCACTGGGATTCAAGATAAGCACAACTGGAACTGATCTTATTGGCTTTTGATTTTTGTTTTGTTTTGTTTTGTTTTTGTTGTGCCAGGGTTGGAATACGGAGTCTGAAGCCTGCTAGGTAGGGGCTCTACATTGAGCCACATCCTCAATCCAGAGCTTCCCATTTGAATAGAAAGAGCATAGTCTTTGGATTTAGCTCTTACTGAATTTGAATTCTACCTTAAGCTCTGTTGCATACCAGCTAACCCTTAGTCCTTCTGTGCCTTAATTTCCTCACCAATAAAATGAGGATTAAAATTAGTAGCTACCTCCCAAGACACCACTGTGATACTTGAAAGAGAATCTACACAAAGTATCTGAACAGTTTCTAGCATAAAGAAGAACTCAATATGTTAGCTATTATAATTATTACTTTTACTTCTAATTAACAAAGACAGAATTTCAATTAATAAAATAATAAAATTATATCGATTTTGCATAGCTCTTTTAAGGACTCTGTTCTTCAAAGTCTTAGATATTCTTTTTGCTAACATTTTAATATCACTGACATTGGAATGCTACTAATAATTCGTGAAGTATTACACATTGTAATTAGCAGCACTTAAAATGTTTCTTCAAACACAAAATAAAGGACCATCACACAATCCATGTGCCCTACCTTATGAAGTAAAATGTAATATCAAAAAAAAAAAAAAAGAAAAAGAAAAGACTCTATTACAGTCCTAGTCATTTGGACTTCACATCTTCACATTTAAAGAAATTTTAGTTCTTAAAAGTACTATGGGTAAAGAGGGCTGAGTAACTGTTAGAGTCTGTAAACAAGTCAGGATGGCGCCTGGCATTTTGCCAGAGGGAGTGGTTTGTGAAGTAACACCAGCGAGCCATTAAGTGTGGAGATTCCTTATTGGTTGACTGCTGTATCGAGTTTATGTTAATTAGATAAACTGTGTGGAATGTATATATACTCGTCCTGTCCTACAATAAACGGCTCCCACTCCTGCTGTATCAATGTACACAAGTTGCTCGTCACCCCCTGGTTATTTTGCTGCAGCCGGACTACGGCAAGTAACAACATAAAGATCTAATTAAAAGCAAAACTATCACTTTTTTAAAGAAACTTAAAGCCAAAGGAAATGTATGTTTCAAATGAATTAGTATGTCTCACTTTAATCAATATATATAGGCTGCATGTAAATTTTAAGTATTTCCATCATTTAATCAGTGTAAGTATGTTGTTAATTTTTCAAAACGACAATTTATAATATCCTACCTCTAGAAGTGCTTTGTTTGAAAACAGGAAGGAAAGACTTCACTTGAAATTGAGTCCTATCACTTTCAATTCTAAATCTCTGGATAAGGAAACATGAAGATTTTGAGGATGGAGGGTCCTGAGATATATAGTAAAATATGTCGATTACATGGTAGGTATTCAGGTTATGAGTGGTGAGAATAGAAATGTACAGTTGAGGAGTTTAGTTTTTTAAACAAAACTTTTATAAAGTAAAGCAATACTTTTGCAACAGTAATAATCTTTTATACTTGCTCTTATATTTTTATAATGATACAACTAAAACAAAATAATAAATCTACAATTGCCTCTTATGTCATAAATCTATATGCAAATATATATATATATATATATATATATATATATATATATATATATAAAACACGTATATGTGGAAAAATATGCAAGCACAGGTGAAAAGAATCCCTTCACTTTTGAAGAGACTAAAAGTTGGCAGAAGACAGC